CATTAATAAAATTATTTCTTATTTATCACACTTATCTTTTTTAATATGAATTAATATATAATGTTAAAGATGTGTCTACAATTTTCTATTTTATGCATTTTCTATATTTTTATTATTTTCTACTTTTAGAAAAGAATATATTATTTTACTATGACATCATGGGTTAATCCATTGATCTAAATTTTTGAACTATTGGCCCACCACTTAGGGAAACTCATTTATGGAGTTTAAACATTGCATTCTATCTCTATCATTAATAAAACTATTTTATTTATCATATCTATTTTTGTTTAATATGACAAATATATAATATTTTATTTATCATATCTATTCTTGGGACTTTGGATCTCCTATCCACAACAAATCTACCCACGTGCACCCACAAAACACTACCCCCGTGCATTGGGAACATCTCCCCATGCATAATAACATGTAAGAGGATGAGATGTTCCCCATTTGTGGCTGCGATATTATGTGGGTAGAATTGTCATGGGTAGGAAATCCAGACTTGTATCTTGGACTCACTTGTTCGACCCAAATGTGGTATAACTACTTATCTAACACCTAGAAAAACTGATTTCATTTTTAGTTGATTTTAAAATATAGTATATTATTAATATCAATAACCTCCCTTAACATTTATCTAAATACTAAAACTAGTACAGTTAAATATTTTCAAAAACCAATTTTATCCCTTCAGCTGTTTGTGTCAATTTCATTAAACAAAGACCTGCCATCAAAGAAATTCACTTTTTTTTTTTGCAAGTAGTAAAGACTTGTTCACATTAAGATTCTGTTGGACCACTACAAAATTTGATATTAAAATGAGTACATAGTAATACCCAACCTGAGGTTGTCACCATTTAAGTGACCAGACTCGCCAACATCTAGTCACCGCTACTACATCACAATGGCAAACCAGGGCCGCTACAAACGTATACTCAACCAGAACCAAATGGCATTCAAGTTAATGGGAACTCCTCATCTTTAATTCAGCTTTAGTTTTTGGTTTTTATTGGCCATTAATACCCGAATCTTCCTCTCTTTGTCTCACTTACCCACTAACCACTGATGATTTTTCCTCATCTTATCCAACTTCCAAATTGAATTGTTAAATCTTTCCAACTATAGCTTTAATTTAGTCCAAAATGGTAATTAATGGTTTTTAGATTAAAGAGGTGGGAGGAGATTTATCCCTTTTCTTCTCATAATAATGAAAGGCCATCAATTTCTAAGGTTTCTACTTCCTTACCCATAATTGTTGAGAAGTTGCACGGGTAGATTTGGTTGAGGAGATCTAGAAAGGGTTTTAGTTGCTCATAGACCTCGATAAGGGATTCATCATGTTCGATAGTTTGAAGAGAAAATCTTCCCTTTTGGGGTTGTAAGGATCGATAGATGACAAGATGCAGATCATGTTGAGGGAAGGAGATGTGGACGACAATGGGGTTCTTAATTAGATGGACTTCTATGTCTTCATTTTTAGATTAAGATTTGATTTGATGGAATCATCTAAGATAACTCCAAAAAGATCTGATGGATGTATATGCCTTTCAGTTCTCTTATTTTCCCCCTCTTTACATTGCTCTATTTTTCTTTTCTTCATTTGTTCTTTTGATTGGTGCAAGCATTGAGAAGAGTAGAAAATAAAATACAACAATAGAAAAAGATAAAACATTTGTTTATATTTTTTTATTGATGGATCAACATTCTTTATACCATTTATCTCTCTCTCTCTCTTCAATTTTATTCCATTTTGCTTTGGCCTACTTATTCCTATTCATGTGGGACTGAGAGAACCTCGATTTGTTATGACTTTAGCTCCAAGTTATATTAGTCAAATGGGTGAAGTAGAGGAAGTGAAATTATTAGAGGATACAATGAGTTTTGTAAGAGATTTGAAGGTGAGAAGGTGAAGTGGTGAACCAATAAAAGGATGTTCGTTCCTTTGGCTCAGTTTGGAAGGAGTACAAATACAAATATGTAGAGTGCAAAATCTTTTGTTTTATATTATTTTGCATGCATTTGCACTGTACATATTTGTATTCGTTCTTGGCTCAGGTTGGAAGGAGTACACATGCAAATATGTGGAGTGCAAAAACTTGTATTTTGTATTATTTTGTATGCAGATATGTATTTATACTGCAAAAAATGACCCATCATTGACCATTAAAGCTTTAATATAGTTTGTGACTAGGGTGTGACTAGCTTTAATATTGTAGTGTATCATTCTTGCACCTTCAACTTTCTTAGTAGACTCCATAGCTTATATCTCATCGCTATGTGCGTCGTTTACTTGTCAAAACTCAAACAAAACGATCTACTTTAGGGATGGCAGTTTCTCCATCCCCGATGGGTACCCAACTTTTCCAACCCAATGGGGTTGGGGATGAGGATTGCTTTGGCAGAATGGGAACAGGGACATGGATTAATAGGGATCCCCGACTAAGGTCAGGGTTGGTTGGGGATAGGGAATGATGTTCTCACCCCACCCTGACCCCAATTATATATATATATATATAATTTATTTATTTATTTTAAGTAAAATTATTTTTCAAAAAACCCATCCACTCACTATCAGATTAGTTTATATATATATATAATTTATTTATTTATTTTAAGTAAATTTATTTTTCAAAAAACCCATCCACTCGCTATCAGATCAGTTTAGATGGTTTATTACAATCAAAACCATCTATATTCCAATATTCAATTGACCAAAAGAGAGAGAAGTGAAGTATTAGTCCATTAAACATAATCCCAACATTGATTTTGTAACTTGTAAGCTTATATTTGTCTTTTAAAATTTTTTGATTAGATATAATGCTAAAGCATTTGATAGGGAAGGTATTATTGCATTTTAAAAAGAGAATCTAAGGATTACTATTTTAACACAAAAACTAAGTTTTTTACCCTTGATTTAATTAGTTGAATTTAATGATATAAAAATACCTTAAATATAGGATTTAATGAGAGAAAGTGGGAGTTAATGTCTTAAATATGGGACTTAATTAGGGAAGAGGGGTATATATATAAATCACCACCAATAGTTTTGGTATTCATGGAACACACATCAGTGTGCACGAGTTCAAGGATGTGATTGCGATGCAAGACAAATGTCCAGAAAGAAACTTTATGCTGCTTGCTAGCTAATCAACTAGAGCAAGTTTTTTAGATTCATACCTTTGGTAATAGGCAAAACTTTCTACCTTATGAGAATCTTGAGCCCTTTTTTGCTTATGTGGCCTAGTCTATGCCATTGCCAAATGGCAGGATCTTTAGTTGTATTTACCTCTCTATTGTTGATCGCAACTTGAGTCACATAGTGTATTAAGTTTCTCCCTCTAACACACTTTTAGGTTCATACCTTTGGTAATAGGAAAAACTTCCTACCTCGCTAGAATCTCAAGCCCTTTTCTTTCTCATATAGCCAAGTCTCTCATGTCATAGCTCAATGGATGAATCTTCGGTTGTATGTACCTCTCAATTAGTAGATCATAGCTCGAGTCACATAGTAACCAAGTTTGAGTCACCTCTAGTGTGCTTCTATTTTCTTTTACAATAGTAACCAAGTTTCAAAGTATCGGAAATGCAATGTGTATTGGAGAAGCAACTTTAAGAGTCATATCGAGATACACTTTGGATATGGATACAGACAAAAAATTAAGATACACATGGATACACTGAGAAACTCATATAAATCCTAAAAATTATATTAATAACAAAAAATATGAGTTTTATATGATTATAAATAAGTTATTTAAACATAAAAAACCATATTTCAATGATTTATATAAAGCAATATTTTTGAACCACCATTGACCCAGATGGTTGGACATTCGACATGGAAGCCATTTAGGCAACCGGTTCTGTTTTACCTCAAAACTCGGTCCCTGGCAAAAAACCGTTGAATTGGTCAATGACCCATTGACCCGGGTGGTCAAACCATTCGATAATTTTTTGTTGTTTTTCATTTTAATTATTAATTTTTAATTTTTTGTTAGAACGAGCCATTCATTTGAACCGGACGATCGAATCATCGACCTAGAAATTGATGGCCAAAACGGTTCCGGTTCCGGTTCCGGTTCCAAGTCGTCTTTTAAAACATTGATACAAAGTGCGAAATATCGGGACATAATTAAAATGATAGAAAATTTAAAATGTGTGTATATATACACACATACCTTAGTTTTTAAAGAATCAATATAATTTGTAATAACATTTATCATTGTTTATAAAACAAGACCAAACCACGATTGGACCGTTTGAACTGTGAACGATTGGACCGTTTGAACTGTGATTTGGGCCCTTAGTTCAATGGACCAGTAAAACCAGCTGGTTTTTTAAAAATTTTTTAGTACATAAAGATAGGTCCCTTATAAAAAATTAAAACTAAAATAAAAAATATATATGCTAGAGGAGTATAATTATATATTTTGAATATATTATAATCTAATATATATCATCACAATTTGACCCCAATTGAACCTCTAACCCGTGAACCTCTCCATTTTTCCGCGGTCCAATTCTCTGAACATGAATTTTAGCTTTTATTTACAACCATCCATTAAAAAGGGTGTTTAATGAAGAATTAAAATACATATCAATATTCCAAACACCTGGCATAGTAGTGAACTTGTAGTCATTACAAATAAATGACTAGGGTTCAAGCCCCTTATTTGTGGTTTTTAATAGGCAACTTTAGTGACATGTTAAATTCAAACTTGTGGCACATCTCACCTTAGTGCCTCTAAATTTAGTGGCATGGCAAATTTAGTGCTCATACATCTATCTCATCATAGTTGTGATGTCTTGGCCAACAAAACACAAACCTAAAACCCACCATTGATCATGCTGAAACAGTGTCTGGACAGTTTTTGTTGTGAGCAGATCCAGACTTCATGACTGCACCGAAATACTAGGAATTTGGGGTTTTTGAAAGTTTGGGATGATGTGTATCGATCAATTGATACACACCAAGAATATCAATAATTTGATCCTTGATCAAAGAAGCATCATCGGGCTCATTTTGAGAACTATATGCATTAGAATGCGCTTGTCCTAATACATCTGAGCCAAATAAACAACAGAGTAAAACCCAACATCGGGCTCATCTCAGATCACGAGTAACGGACGTGCTTCTAAATGAATATATACTATGGTAACTTTTATATATGATGAAGTACAGAACACCTATCATAACTAATACTCTTCATGCATGCAATGTCTCTAACTTTGGAGGATTTACATAAAAGAATATATTTCAAGGTTGGTTTCTGTTTGACAGGTCAAATGCGTCGAAGGGAAGCCAACCTCTTCTCTAGATCTTCAACATCGGTAGACTCAGAACTGCAAATGGCAAAACAGGTATGATGAGATGTCAGACTCAGTAAAACCTTGAAAATAAATAGGATTCAAACACTACATTTTTCAAGGATATGGATTTTACGTTATATAAATAATGGGATCATCGTTGAAAAGGCAAAAAAGAAAATAAAAAGAAAAAGGGTTTCAACCAGTGCAAAAAACACAGCAAACAGATAATACCAAGTTTAAGAAATTCATCAAGTTTTCAAGTGAACGTGCTTTGGACGGGATTAGCGCTAAACGCAACAGTAGGCTGTTGGAACCAATAATAATGTCCACTCCAGCATGGTTTTCAAAACCGGACCGGAAAAACCGGAAACCGGCCAGGTAACCGGTTCTGTTTTTCCCCAAAACCGGGATTTCTCAAAAAATCGTTGATTTTAATCAGTAAACTGCTGACCCGGGCGGTTAACTGTAACTGTTCGAACAGTTTTGACCGTTTTTTATTTTTTTTAATTTTTTAATTTTTTGTCAGAACAAGCCGACTGTTTTAAAAACCATGCACTCCAGTCATGGGACCAACAAACATTCAACCCTCAATGTACGCCCATGTATTTTTTACCACTGACGTGCAGTATTATCATTGATTCCACAGCCCACTATACAGCTAAAGCGTTCTGGACATACCCGTATTGGACATTTATGTCTGTGGTAAATTTATAAAACTTGATAATTTAGGGGGCATTGGTTGTCGCGGTTCCACAAACAAATAAAAAACAGATTGTTTCTTAAAACACATAAAAAACAAATCAATCATGTTTGAAAACAGATTGTTTCTTAAAACACAAACACAAAAGAACATGTTCTTTGTTGTGTGTTTCAAACAGATTGCCGGTTCTTAAAAATTTGTTTTTGTTTTATAAATCAATATTTTGTCGATACCAAAAACAAAAACATGTATTGTTTTTTGAAACAAAAGCAACTTGTTTTCCCTCTGAAAACAAGAACAGATTTCAAAAACAAGTGAAAACAATGACATTCATGTTGCAGGACACTCTTACCGTTTTTGCATAAGCTGTGTTTAGTTGGGTTGGAAAGAAAAGGTAACAAGATTTTTGCCAGGAAGGATTAACTGAACACAATAGCTGTTCAGTGGGCTGTGGAACCAATGATAGTGGCCAATGCCAGTAATGTGGGCCCCATATGTTTTATCACTGTCATGGGGCACTATCATTGGTTCAACAACCAGCTGAATAGCGTTGAGCTAATCAGAATTCTTTTTATTGCACTGATTTATGGCAACATTTTTTTTTTTTTGCCATTTTCAAGCGATCATGTTGGGGAATGATTGCTTTGATAAGCTTTGGAGTAGGAGTTTAGGTTTTGGACTGTAAGGAGCACAAGATAAGACAATCATAACCAACCACTATAAAAAATCCCCTGCACTGTTCTTGGCATATTTAGGACTTATCAAAAGGACTAGTAAGAGTGTGGCTTAAAAGCCTCACACTTTTGTCCCCACAATGTGGCTTAATCATAACCAACCACTATAAAAAATCCCCTGCACTGTTCTTGGCATATTTAGGACTTATCAAAAGGACTAGTAAGAGTGTGTGGCTTAAAAGCCTCACACTTTTGTCCCCACAATGTGGCTTAAAAAGCCTCATTAAGTGCACGTTCCTTCTGTCCATGTAAGTGCTGACTTGGCAGGGTTTCAGACTGGGGAGAATATCCCATTAGCACATCAAATGTTGGGTTTTACTTGTACATGTATGTCATGTGCCAATATGAATAGGTTTTTTCCAAATATCTTATTGAATTGCTAATATCCAATTAGTGCATCCCTAAAGAAAAACTTGATATAAAATATGGTATGTACCTTGGAACAACATTTTCAATTTTCTTTGATGCTATCCGACCTTTAGGAGCCGAGGATAACTGTCAGAAGATGAAGATGTGAATCAGTTGTATAGTTTTTTTTACATAAATAAATTAAGAAACATATGTCTTTATTTATCAATTTTGAATAGCTAACCTGTGAAGCAATATCGACACCAATCTCATCAAGAACCTACAATTGAACAGTGTAAAGATACAGTGAGATCTAGGACTAGTTTAGAAAATAATGTAGCAACTAATGTATGATGGGTCTCAGTGTTTGATAGAAACCGTTAACCATAAAACAAAAGCAAAAACAGTAGAAATTAGCCTGTTTGGAATTACCTGGTTAGTGAGCTCCTCTGTTTCCTCTTCAGCCTCATCTTTGTCCAGGGTTTCATCAATAGACTCTGACATCATCTCAATCTGAATAGAGAACAATGGAATGTTTTATATCCCCAGATATTATTAATGCACATATCTATATGCAAGAAAGCATGCCAGCATAATGCAACTGTGTATTTCTTTAACTAATGATGACTTCCCCCTTACAGAGGAGTGTACAAACTCAATGCAAGTAATATCTGACTAGGTAAGGTCTTCACTAAAACAATTGAATTAGGAAAAATGTCACTTAATTCTACTACACTTGACCAAATGAATTTTACATAAAGATGCTCACTTGATTCTACTTGTTAGACTACGCAAAGCATTACAGGTTCAATCCTCAATAGCATTAGGAAAAATGTCACTTCATTCTACTACACTTGACTATCAGTGAGATAAATGTACAACTCATCAAAACCAAATGAATAAGGACAGTCAGATACTCACTTGATTCTACTTGTTAGACTAGGCATAGCATTACAGGACTCAGTAGCTTTTCTTTTCTCGGGAATAATTTTCATTTTAATGGGATATGGCATATGGTATGTTGGCTTTCATATCAGTGAAATAAATGTACAACTCATCAAAACCAAATAAAGAAGGACAGCAAGATGCCCACTTGATTCTACTTGTTAGACTAGGCAAAGCATTACAGGATCAATCCCCAGTAGCTTCTCTTTTCTTGGGAATAATTTTCATTTTAATGGGATATGGCATATGGTACATTGGATTTCATGAGACTAGATACAACAGGTGCTGATGTGTCTGATAAGATTCAGATCACATGAAAATGATAAATCTGGGTCCAGGAAAAAAAACTGTAAGGTTTGAAAAAATTACATCAGGAATTCAATGAGAATGAAGGTTTCTTGGGTTTATGGGAATTACTTAATTTCCAGGGCTATCCCAATCCACTTATTAATCAGCATAGGCTATGTATTAAACCAGACTCAAATAGACAGGTGGGCTAACAGTTCTTATTGGCCAGCCCGATATTTTACCAGTGCACCAAGCAGTCTAGTTTTGTAGATTCGAAAGCTATCCAAGTTAAATCAACTCAATCAAGAATTCAAACCAGTTCCACAAGAACAAAAACTAAATGGTGAACATAGAGATATGTATGAAAATGCATCTTACCGTCATGTCCAGTTGTGTAGACTGCTTCTGGAACTCCCTAATCACTTTTGCTTGCTTCGCTGGTGCCATTTGCTGAAACATGCCATGACATTAGAATCATTAGAGCTTTAGAATCATAATATCCCAATATCTCAAACAGAGGAGAAGTTTTTTAAATAAAATAAGCATTTTCTACAATGCAAAGATTAGGTAACATTAGCAACATATGCTGTTAAGATTATCCAACAATAACAACATTATCCAACATATCTATTAAGATAAATACCTTGTTCATTGCTACCATTGCTTTCGTTGCACCCTTCATCCCCGTCGAAATCGAGGTACTGGCATACAACGCCTATGATAATAATAACATAAAGTTAGATTTCAGGAAGGGAAGCATTCCTAATAATGTTTACGTATACTACTGCCAGTAGAACAGTGACCTGTGTATGAGTTGCTACACCTCTGATTTGGGCACGGCTTCCTTGCAAGTTTGTAATTTGTTGGCGCAACCGAACGAGTTGGCGAGCCAGGATTCTTGTGGCTTTCTGGTCCATGCATATATAGAAATGGTCAGAAAATCAATGTACTTCTCCTTCCCGATCCTATATTTTCATTTTAGAATCATATAAATTTGGTCCAGTTAAACTTCAAAATCTTAAGTGTATTCAGGCACAGCCCAGGTGTAACAAAAATTTCACTTCCTGTTGCAGTTTGGTTGACTGAGATATTGGAAGGTGTACCAGAATCTGTAAAATCTACTTAATACCTCATTTCTGCTGGAGCCCTCAAAAGATCCAGATAAATCCATGAGGATATTCTTCTTCTTATTTTTTTTATCCTTTTACCCTTACAGCACCATAAAAGGATCTAAGGCATGATATGGGAAAGTGGAACTGGCATGACTTTTAAATTGAATTGTCAAATTAAGAAGAACTAGGGTCCAATTAACAGATAAACTTACCTCATTTCCAGTCTTAGCCTCCTTTTTGATCTCTGCCACCAATTTCTTTTCCTGTCGTTTTCCACACACAGGTAAACATTGCAAAAGAAAAAATATATAAAAGAAAACTGAATTTCTCCTACTAACATACCTCCAGTTGCAGAGATGCAATCTCACGTTCGATACCTTAGGTTAATAAGTAATCCAGTAGTCAGTACAAAAAAAAAATATAAGCAACACAGCGTTTAATTTTTTATAAACAAAAAATTAGGCTCAAATTAACAGTCAGTTGATAATTGATCTAGACCCCCTTTCACTGAAGCCCATTAAGAGACCTCACTAGTTTGGATGATAATTTGTTACATTATAATGGGCTATCCATGAACCAACCTAGCTAAATTCCTGCCCCACTTAGTGCAAAGTAACAACCACTATCGATCGTGGCTAGAGACCACAAGTTTGGAATTCAAATACAAGAGAAGGCTCATGGGTTTAACTAATTATTTAGATAACTTCTGAAAATAAGAATCTGCTCTGCAATTGACTTTACTTCAACGAAATTTACCTCTTGTCGCAACCGCCATTTCTCTTTTGCTCTGTCTGAGTGCATCTGCAATCCAAGAAAACATTTTCTTTCTTTAGATCAGTAACAAAAATCAAAAGAGAAACAAGAAGTCTGATACTAATCAAAGTTATTTCTGACGAAATATGAGAAAGGGAAAGGGATGCATCAGAAAGAGCTAAAACGAGTACCAAATTACCCTAATTAAAAATACCAGAGAACACCCCAGAACTCCAGAAGTAGAGTAGGAACATCGAATAGTAGAGTAAACTAAAGATGTTAAATAAATGAAACTCGGAACTTAACGGTGCCTACCTTTGGGAGAGGTTTTCTTCTTGAAAATGTTCATGGCGATCTTCTATCTCAAGAAGATGAAACCCTAAATTAACAGTGAACCGGCGTTGACGATACCCTAACTTTCTTCTAATCGCTTGGCAATCTCTCTCTCTCTCTCTCTGAGAATTGAGTGCGGCTTGCAGCTTTAGAAGAGCGTGCTCAGGGTTCATATCTAACGGTAATCATCGAGGTAGCCGTTACAAGTTGTCAATTACCTAAATGTACATAACTTTCTTATTATGGCAAATTGGTCACAAGTTGTCACCCATAACCGTAAGGCATAATACTAATTTGCTACAGGTATAGCCGAACGCAATGTGGGCGGGCGGTGCCCAGTATAGGTGGCCACGAGCCGAGCGAGTTATTCGAGTTGTGAAAACTTCGACTTGGTACTGTTTAAGCTGAATTCGAGTTTAATATAATAGGTTCGTTTGTTAATTAATTTTAGGTCCAACTCAGTGAAATTCGGTTTTCATGAAAATTGTTAGGGCTGTTTACGGGTCGAGTTGGATCGGTTTAGTGTCGTTTTTCCAACCGACCCGACGTAGTCAATTTATCTAGAAATGAAATTGAAATCGATCCAGTACTAAGTAAAATCGACTTGGTCGGTTTGAATCGGTTTGGGTCAGTTTTGTAAATGATTCTCTCGGTGTAAACGGTAAATGATTCAAGTCTAAGAAAGCAAAGGCCAACTCAGGTTGGATCGAACCGGGTTGGTTGGTTTGGTTGGTTTGGGTCTTGTTATGAACAGCCCTAAGACTTGTGAGCTTAATCGAGCTTAGAATAATAAATAAATAATATTTTTATAATAATAATAAAATATTATTATATATAATAAAACTTTTATTTTTTATGTATAATAGTAAATAATTTTTATAATCCTTATTTTTTGTATATAAAATAAAAATATTTTTTATATGTATAATAATAAATAATTTTTATAATTCTTATTTTTTGTATATGAAATAAAAATAATATTTTTATATGTATAATTTTTATTTTTTAGAAAAAATATGGCTTGTAGTCAAGCTCAAGCCTAACACAATTTCAGCGAGTCGAGCTCGAATAGCCAATTATTCAGCTCGGCCCGGCTTGAATCCACCCCTAGTGCCCACTTTTGCATGCCACCCATACCATAGTGGGTCGTGTCATACTAGTATGTGGATCTTGGCGGGCATGTGCCTACTCAATATGAATCCATCAAGAGAGAAGCCCGATATGGCTTGAGGCTCCATCCCTAATGGGCTAATGGGCATGTGTTGGATCGATGCACAGGTTTGCCTTTTTCTTACGAGTTCACATCGACGCCCCACAACACATCCGAACCGTGTATTGGTAACATCTCCCATTGACAACAAAGTACAGGAGCATCACACACTTATTGATGAGTCTTTAATCTCCAAGGGACATCGACCTACTTCTTTAGACAAGAGATCACCAGGAGCGAATCACCCTCAATGTTGATAAAGTGGTTTCTGAAATTTAGAGCCACATTGTGAACTTCCCATGCGGCCCAAGCTTTAGCAACATTAATTGTGGAGACTCCAATATAAAAGGCTTTGGCATCAAGAACTTTCCCAAGATGGTTTCTCACAATATAGGCAATTGAGCAATCTCCTTTTGTCATTCCTTGAAGCATCAAAGTTTATTTTAATGGTCCCTTTTTTTGGGTTTTTCCATAAAATGGGCCTCCAACTTTTCTTGTTACCAAAATTATTTGATTTAGACTTGCAATTTGTAAATTCTAAATAGGCAAGTAAAGCACAGTTAACAATGATTGCTAGGGGAGAAATGATTCTAAAAAACTCTTTCATTTCTATTCTTCCATATTTACAGTAGAATGAAGCTACATTTCTCATAAATCATAGATCCCTCCAAACCCAGATTATTTTTCAAATTTATCCACCATTCATGGATTGAGAAATCAATATCCCCTAGGCCCATATTTCTAGGATTAAAATTTATCTAGACCTGCTTTGTTAAAGCACAATTTTTAAAATATGATCATATCCTCCATTTCCTTACAAAAGCAACATGCTCCATCAATGGCAACTCCTCTAGAAATAAGAAAACAATTTGTGGGAAAACAGAGTTTAGAAGGAAATATAAAAAGGTTTTGATCTTTGGGGGGGGGGGGATTTTGAGACCCCAAATTTTGCTAAAGTTCCAATTTGGGCCCCCTAGCCCACTGTGAATCACACCAGCTTCATTATAGGCAGATTTAATGGAGAAATTCCCTTTAGGTTCAAGTCTCCAAATCATCTTATTCTCATTTAACCCCGAAGGAAGGAAGATGGATCTAATGTTATTCCAAACTTGAGGGTGGACAAGGTTGCACACCTATCTTCTTTCTACCCACTTTTCTCATGATCGATGGCATCATAGACATGAAATTCATCCTCACTACTAGAGGAGTCCCTATTCATTAAATCATGAATCAAGGATGAATTTATCCAATTATCATCCCAGAATTTGATTTTTCTACCACCACCCACAATCCATCCAATACCCTTCTTAAGTAACAATCTAGCATTATTGAGAATACCCTTCCATGCCCAAGAGATTTCATTCTTTGGAATTACCTTCCCCAAATCTTCATTTTTTAAGTATTTGTGGGCTACAACTTGCACCCACAGGTTATCTTTTTCAGTCAAGATTTTTTATCCTAATTTGGATAAATAGGCCTCATTAACCCAAGAGAGCTTCTTTAGGCCAAGACCACCCCATCTCTTAGGAAGACATACTTCATTCCAGTTTATGAGATGGATGGGCTTGCACCCATTTCCATCTGACCATAGAAAAGTTCTTTGGTATTTGTTAATATCCTCATTAACACCATTAGAAATTTCGAAAGATCTCATCACAAACTGGGGCATGGAACTAATTGTGGAATTAAGTAGGGTGATTCAACCCACAAGAGCTAAAGTTTTCTTTTTCCATCTGACCATAGAAAAGTTCTTTGGTATTGTTGATTTTTTTCTCTAAGCTCATTGAAAATTTTCTTGGAAACCCTACCACTAATGATAGGAACTCCAAGATAGGTATCAGATTTCCTTTCAAGGGGAATTCCCATAATTCTTGACATAATCTGTTGTAATCTAATGGGAGTATTTTTTGAGAAGTTAAAAGTTGATTTATAAAATTTGGGCATTGCCCCGTGGCCTTTGCAAACTTCGTTAAAACTTCCTTGACCTTAGACAAATTGGGATAATAGTTTTTGCATTGAATGTTAAAAAAAAGTCGCTTCAATATTTTCTTCAAGTTCCACCTCCCTCTCCATGTCCTTAATGTACATCATTTGGTGAATCATTAGTTGATGTGCCATGTCCTTGTTCTTGTAATTAGTCATTTTCACCCAAGGATCAAAGCATTGGTATCGGGTATCATATCAGACATCTCAGATAGGATACAGTTTGGATACGAACAAAAGATATGGAAACACTAAGGAAATGCACATAAATCACATAAACACATTAATAACATCAAATCTAAAGCTAAATTATCTATAAATATGGTATAAACACATGAGAAATAATAACTACTTTTAGAACATTTATTTTTATAATTATGATTTCCAATTTTTATTAATTTTTTAGAACATTTATTTATTTAGTATTTTTATATAAATAATAATTATTTTTTAAATAATAAATATGTTTTCATTCTTACCATATAAATTATGTGTAAAATAAAACATATAAATCATTTAAGATAGACAAAATATATTATTTTTATCATTTGTAATTTTTATTATTTTTTTAGAAAATTAAATCTTATATTATTTATTTTATATTTTATTGTTATAATTTTCAATTTTTATTAAAGTTGAAAAACAATCCAAAAGTGGCCAATATGTTTCATCAAACTAGGTATTGATACACTTCGTTATCAATGCATATCAAACGATATCCACTGATGCAATGCAATATAGTCCAATGCAGAGATGTATCTTGCCAATACACACGACTCATGGGATACATATCCAATCATGATGTATTTTGTATCCATGGTCATGGATACAGATATGATACACACCATATTAAGAGTATCGTATACTCTAAACTTTGTCCGCATCTAGCCAATCCTTTAAGCATATGCACATTTTCAAACTTTCATGATTCATATTGTTTCTTTTGTTTGGTATTTGCACTAAAACAGGACTCTAATGGAATTGTGGACATCAGAGGGACTAGTAGATCATGTGCCATGGTGATAAAATTATGATAATATTTCTCATGTTCTTTCCACAAAACTAAAATATTAAAATTTTCTAATTGCTCACTCATTGAAAAGTATATAAGATTAGATTTGCAAATAAAAATGAAATTTAATAAATGAACTTGATGAAGATGCAATTGATTGTTGCTTGTCATGGTTTGTTATTAATCAAACTTTGTCTATTGCACTACCACCACCACCACTTTTGGATGGTGTATCTGTAGAAGTTCTTTTATTTCCTAATGCGTTTTACTCATATAAATTAAACATTTCAAATAATAAAGTATTAATTTCATATTTTTTTACAAATATCACTTTGCAAATTTACATGACAAGATTCAAGTAAAACATCTAACCTTTTTTTTTGACTCCTAAGGACTAATATTGCGGCTAAGCAATATAAAGGAGAAATATTTTTCTAATATTTTTAAATTTAATTTCTATTACTTCAACAATATTTTTAATCTTAGATCACTTCTATATTTTATAAAACATTCACTAATTATAAATAATTGATTAAATAATATACATAATGTAGGGTAATGAACACTTAAAAATAAATTAATTGAATGATAAAAATAATATGAAAATCATTTTATACAAATTATCACTCGGCAAACTCCTATAACTACCCTTCAAGGCCTATGAAAAGATGAGGTTACCCTCTGAAGCCACCACATGTCATGCGTTGACTGGTGTGAATAAATTTGGAAATATCAATTACTAATTTATTTCCTTTTTCGGCTATTGCAAGGAATGTAACAAATTAGAGGATGGTGAAGGGAAGGGAAATCCATCACATGGATGGCCGAACCATACAGTTTCGCTGGGCGAAATTTCAAAATTTTTCTTTTTCCCTTCCAGGAATCGTATTCCCTAATTTAGAAAAACTACATTTTTCAACGTTCATTCTTGAAACAAATCGGACCAGA